CCCGTCTCCCCCCTGGGCGCTGTGTTCCACGCATTCCCACCCTCACGCTGTCGCTCAGTGACACCTTTGTCACCCACACACTCACCGTGGGTCCTCAGGAGGGCTGGGGTGTCCTGTGAAAGCAACCCCAGGGACACCTCTGGTCCCGAGCCTTGGAAGACACAGCTCCTGGAAAAACACCTGCATCGCTGCTTCATCTCATCTCCTTGGCACTCCACCTGGGCGCTGTGTGGAAGCCAGCTGCTTCCCCTGCTGTCTCCACACTGGGCTCACCTCTCTCCCTCTGCTCCTCACAGCCCAGCACAGAGCTACGATCCCAAAGCCATTATAAGGTTTAATTTAACAGTGCTGTGTGGGATGATTCAACTGCTTCAAGCTCAAACATGATGCAAGTGATTGATTAATCCATGCATCTCAGCGACCTCAAAACCTGATGCCTTGGAAAAAATAAACAGAACAGACCATCTCAAATAGCAGATAATCAATCTGCAGAACTGAATCCAGCACGCAGTCCTGTGGACAAGTTCTGTGCTGGCAGCAGAGTCTTTTTACGACCATTAGGAACATCCCTACTTATAGAGCCACCACAACTTGGGCACTAAATACACAGACCCACCTGGCAGAACAGCAAATAAAGAAGCAACTTACCCTCCCCTTATCCAACTCCACTCACATTTAGAAGTGAAACTACAAGTTTAACTGCCATGAAAACATGAGGGGATAAAAAAATCATCTGGTATTTTCCGGGTAAACCACCAAGATCATAGAATCCCAAGCTGTAAGGGATCCACAAGGAATCACCAAGTCCAACCTGAGGCTCCAGGAAGGACAACCCAAACACAAATGGTCTTTAAGCTGCAGCAGCTCAGGACCAGGCCCACAGCCCTGGGGAGCCTGGCCACAGCCACTGCTATCAGGTGCAGCAAGCACAGGGAGCAGGCAGGCAGGCACAGCACAGCAAGCAAAGACCAATAAAGCTCCCCCATTTGGACAGCCAAAACACAAACTGCCATTTCACCGCTCATGGCTCTTCCCTGAACTCCCAAACAAGCAGTTACTTCAGTCCCCTATCGCACTGCAACTGCTCATAATCCACAACCAACATCGTATCTTTCACAACATAAGCAGCTCACTTCTGCTTGGTGGCAATGACGTCCATTCCCATTGCGTCCCTTCATGTGAGCAAAATCACAGCCAGCTTTCTGACAGCCTCCTGCAAGATCCTCCACAAAGCACCCAGCACTTCTGAAGAGGGACAGAAAGGAAGGTTCATGCAAACAGGCACACAAGGTGTCCCCCCCCCCCCCCAGCCCTGAGCGGCCCATCACACACAGAGCGGCAGAAACACCAGGGCAATGGCAGGATATGACAGAGGCAGGAAAAGCACTGCTCACCATCGCCAAGGAGTCACCGACAGAACCAACTCCACAGCAGAGAACCTTCCAGAAAGAAACCCTTCCCTGCTCCCAGCCAGCCCTGACCTGAGCTCCACGAGGGGCAGCCAGGCTGCGCCCCTTCCAGCCACGGAGCTCCATTGCCTTCAGCTGCGCTCCAGGGCTGAGCAGCTCCTTTCCTCAGCTGCTCCGTCAGTGGGTCAGGCTGGGATTCAGCACTTCTTAGACAGCAGAGCAAAGGAAAAAATCCCAAAGCAGAGCTGGAGACAAAATACAAACGGCAAAGAAAGCTTGCAGGATCCCAGGAAATAACAGCAAAGCACAGGCAGAAGGCAGAAGGCAGAAGGCAGGGTTATGTCTGCGTGTCTGAAGGAAAAGCTGCAGATGTTCAGTGCTGCTCCATGCACCCATCGCAGACAGCTGCACACAACAGGGCTCCAGCAGCACTGGCAGCTCCTGTCAGCTTCACTATTAAAGCCATCTGACAAACTTCCAATTCCGTATTGCCAGTGCTTTAAAGAGAGAAGCACTACAGCTGGCAAACGCACGGTGGCTCCAGATAACAAACACCAAGGCAAATGGCACTTCAGGCCATCAGCATCCCTACGTTACTGCACCTCTTCTAGTTGATTCAGAGAGGCTTCTAGCTCCTTTCGAGCTTCTTCTCATTCCCTGAGCTGGAAAAATCAAGGGAAAAATGTTGAAATGGCTCCAAAACCCCTTCAATTTTGAATTAATCCCGATTTTGCCCTGCAGATGGGGTTTTGTTTTTATTTCTGGTGTTGCACAACAGGTGACTGAAGTGACTGGCACAGCTTGGAAGTGGAATCATTCCATCAAACATGCTGATTTTCTTTGAAATCTCACCCAGCAGCAGCATGAGCGGAAAGCGGCACTCTTGAGGGAAATCCTCACTGTGAACAAAGGCCTAGAAGAAGAGAGCAGCTGGTCCCTGCGTTCCCATAGTCAGGTTTTCCTTTCTGATCTGTTACCCCTCAGGCGGTGCCTGCAGCTGTGTGATGAGCTCTGCAGGAAGTGCCGACGTTTCGCATTCCACCTTGTCTTTCACCTGGTTTTAAAGCTTAGAGCACCCTCAATTTCTGCAGCCCTGAGCTTTGGGCCACGAGAGCTCTCCAGCTTCTACCCATGATGTGGGACTGAAATGTGTCTACTGTGTCAGGCTCTTCTTCTCTTTTCTCTTTTAAGGTACCTCTTTTAAGTACCTCTTTTAAGGTAGGAAAATTCATTTCTGGGCCAGGAGAAGAAGAAATGCAGCAATCTTCCCTGCACTGCTCAGTTTGCCTGAGTTGCCAACTGCTCCTCGTTTTTCTCGCACCCTTCAATTCCCAGTCCATATTTTCCCCAAAGCAAAAGAATTCAGAGGTAACCACCTACAGTTCAGTGAGCGATTTCAGTATTTATTTCTGACTGTGGCAATTCCTTCAGTTCAGAAGTCACACTTAATTTACAGAGCCTGCTTTAATTCTGACCAAGGTTGCAGTGGCAGCTGGCTTCCCAAGGCTGCAGTACGTGGTGGTGGCACAGCCTCGGGCTTCTGCATTTGTGCTGATCCCACATTTCCTTTCTCTGTGTCGCAGGTCAGCTGGCGCTGGAAGCGGACGGCATCCAGTGTGAATGAAGGGCAGTGCAGGAGCAGCTGCTGCTGGGAGGAAGGAAGCGCAGGCTGATGGACGCTGACGCATCTCCCGGCACGGCACCAGAGGAGGCAGCGGTGATGCTGGGGGGCAGTTGCAGAAGAACACGAGGAGCTCCTCAGCAGGAAGCCACAAACCCTGCAGGAAGCTGCAGCAGACTCAGAGCACGTGTGGATGCCCAGGAGGAAATGCAGGCCCAGCGTTTGAGCAGCGCCTGGCCACGGAGTGCTGCGGCCCAACAACAAAGCTGTTCTGCCTTTGCCCAGATGGCTTTCCAAGGTGGGCTCGTCTGTCCCCACAAAAACCAGAGCGCTGACTCATCCGAATGCTGGCTGATTGCTTGGGAGCCCAAATCCTCCCAGCCTCCAGTCTGGGGGCTGAAGCCACAGCCTGAGCGGCCAGCACCGACCCTGGGTTGAAGCCCAGCCAGAGAGGCTGCCCTGGCCCCGGGCCTAAACCTGGAGCCCCAACGCGAGAAGCCGGCACCAGCTTTGGGCCCGAAGCCACAGCCTGAGAGCCGGCCCTGAAGTCTGAAGCTCCAGCCAGAGAGCCAGCACCAGCCCTGGGCCATAATGCCGCGGTTACAGCCACTGGGGCAGCGCCAGAGCCGGGGCTGACAGCCACACCTACAGCCGGGCGGGCTGGCAGCGGCCGTGGAGCCTAAAGCCAGTCCTGAAAGGCCGGCACCAGGCCTCGGCCTGACGCACAGCCCGAGAGGCCGGCACCAGGCCGAGAGCCCAAAGCCGGAGGCAGAGGCCGGCACCGGCCCTGGGCACAGATGGGCCTTCCTGTTGCTTTCTGCTGATTCCTATAGGGCTCCACGGACCGCTCTGAGGCCGTGCTGCTCCTTACTGGTTTTCACTTGGCCACGCTGCAGCTTTATGGACCGGACTGCTGTGCGCTCCTCCCAGATCCCACTTGTTCCTCTGGGACCCCGCTGACCACTCTGAGGCCATACTGGTTTTTATTGGGCTGCACAGGGGTCATCTTCACTTCTCTGTTGCTTTACTCAATTAACCCCCATTCAATCAACCCCATTCAGCACATTGGGTGAGTCTCATGTTTCCTACAGTTTGGATCTGGGAAGTGACCACTCCTTTGCCTATGATGAAAGCACAGCGGTGATGCAGGCACTTGCTGAGCTCACAGTGGTTGCCTGGCTGGGAGCGTTTGTGCCCCAGCTGGAGCAGAGCTGGTGGTCTGGTGAGCGTGCTGCAAACCAAGACTGAGCTCTGTGCTTTTCAGGAGAGATCTTCCTGTGAGAGCCCACTGGGAGCAGCACTGCGGCGCGTGCGTCAGCTGGGCACAGTGACCAGGTCATCCGGCTGGGCAGTGACCAGGTGAGCTGGGTTTGGTGCTGGCTGGGGGCCGGGAGGTGTCTCAGCAGAAAAGCTGGGCTGGGGAGGAGTTCCCAGCTCCAGCAATGCACCTCAGCACGGCTGTTTCCAGGGGAAATGGTTCTTGTTGAGATTCCATCCCACGTTTCTGTGAGGATGATGAGATGTCATTCCTCCCCTGGAAATTCACTGCTGATCCCCCACCTTCATGTCGGACATTGAAAAGCAAGGAGAGCACAAGCTTCTCAGAGCACAGCTCGTGCCCCCTGCCCCACGGGTGGCTGGGTGCAGAGCTGTGGAGGAGATGGAGAAGGGCACTTGCTGACACAAGCCGTGGCAGTCAGACCCAAACTGGACCTGGTGGCAGGCAGCTCTCGCAGCCAGCTGCCTTCCAGGCGTTGCCCTCCTCAAGAGACTCCATGGCGCGGCAGAAGAAAGCTGGGAAGATGCTTCTTCCTCATGATTTTTCACTGGTGGATGCTTTCTGCAGGGTTCCTGTCCAAAAGGAGACTTTGGGCATCGAGGAAGAGTGAAGCCAGCTCTTTCCAGGAGCGGGAGAAGTTCCTGTGCAGAGAACCATCTGAGCTTGGGCTTCCTCTGAGACTTCAGCCGTCATGTCTCAGCATGGAGATGAGCGCGGCTCCAATTCCCGCTCTGTGAGAGCAAAGGTAGGGCTGGGTGTCTTTTGCTGGGTGTTTCTTCCTTTGTTTTTGTTTTCCAGGGGAAAGGGTGGAGCGGGGGGAGCCCTGCTGGTCCTTTGGGACCCTCAGGAACTGGTTGGGTTCTGCGCTCGCTGACAGCCTGGGCTAATAACATGGGCATGGCTCAGGCTGTGTTTTCCCTCAGTGGTAAAGAACATCTCAGCACTCTGCTATCCCATCTCTGGCACGACCTGGAAGCTCTGTGCAAACCTCGGCTGCCCGTTCCCTCCAACGTTTCTTCTTTCTCTCCTCAGAAGCAGCGCGGCGCGGTTCCCCGCCTTTGGGAGCAGCAGCCAGCAGGCTGCCAGAGATCCCACGGCGCCTGGCAGCGCACAGAGGGACGCGATGGGCACGGGCCGTCCTCACTGCCATGCAAAAGTGAGTTTCTGCAGTCCTCTGTCATGAAGGATGGAGGAATGCCTGCTAGGTATCACTTCTGAGCGGCTGCAGTGCTGTAGGGATGTCCAGAAACCACGGTGGAAGCATTAGAAAGGCCGACAGCAGCAGCTGATGGCAGCAGCGAGACACCAGTCTGTGTACAAGTGGTGCTGCTCAGAGCTGAGTGCATTCCCTCTAGGGACAAGAGATCCGTGTCTCCACGTTTGCACCCGGTAGCGTTTTGTTTGCTGATGCAGCTCTGCTCTGCAGAATGCAGAGCTGTCAGGCAGTCCGGGGTTCCTCTGCTGCCATCTGGCAGGAATGAGAGCATAATGCTTTGTGTCAGCACGCTGCAGTTTGAACACCAGTTTCTGCTCTGGCTGTAGAACAGCGTCTTCTGGTTTTGGGGTGGGTGTGGGCTGACAGGACAGCGCTGCTCCTGGGGTCTGTGCAATCACACTGGATCTGTCGTTGCAGGGACGGAGCCTGCGCGTCCGTGGGATGGTGCTGGGCACGGGGGGAAACGGAAAGCCTCCCCAGGTAAGAAGCTCCTGTGAGCTGTGCTGTGGGTGCTGCCTCTAAGCAGGGCTGCACGCAGGGCTGAGTGTGATGGAGGAGGGAGGAAAGGGCACTGCAGTTCTGTGCTGACTGCAGAAGTGGCACAAGGCTGGAGCAGCGGAAAGGAAATTGAAGAAGCTACACTGGAAGACCAGAAGTTTGGTTGGCTGTGCTAAAACGTTCCTGCAAAGAGATGCTCTTCATGTCTCTGTTTCCTTTCTGTCAGATGCTGATGCAAGCAGCCTTCCAGCAAAGCGCAGCCTTGCAGAAAGGCAAGGCAGAAGCACCGAGTGTGGCACAGCACCCAAGAGAGGTATGGACACACAGCAGGCACCTAGGTTTGGTGCACTGTCTTTCTAGCTAGGCTCTCTGTCTATTCTTTCTGGGACTGACGCTGTTGTGTGTTTTACCTGAGGTATTAATCCCTGGGATCTACTATTACCTTCCTGTCCCGTTTTGTAGTCTCAACGCAACGTTCAGCCAAGATGCTAAGATTCCTTACTGTGTACCCTCGAGATCAGGTTTCCTAGTATCGAGGCCCATTGTGCAGACTGAAAGTATCACTGGACTCTCGTTGTATCTCCTTGCTTCTCTTTTCTTGATTGTAACAGACAGAGGTGCTGAGTCCAACGGAAAGATCGACCCGAAAGCGGTGCAGGAAGGGCTTTCTGGGAGAGCTTGTCTTCAGGCTGGGGGGCTTCCTACATCAGCAGGTCCCAGCTCAGGGGGAAGACCTGCCCCTGCCGTGTGCCCCCGCTCTGTCTCCAAGTCCCTGGCTGCAGGTAAACGCAAGGGCCTGGAGGAAGAGCAGCAAACATCAGCGCTGCTGCCTGCCTGCAAAAGAGCCAGACGTCAGAGCGGAGGCAGCGTGCCGGCTCCAGCAGCACAGCCTGGGCCTGCTGCAGCACGGAGCTCCAAGCTGCGAGGTAAGCAGGTGCTGTGCTACCGCCCTGCAGGGCAGCTGCTGCCCTGATCAAGCACACCGAGGCTGCAGAGGGTTTGCTTTGCTTTCTCCTTCTCTGCAGAGGGGAAAAGAGTTGGAGCCTCTAAGAAGTCCAAAGGCACTGAGGTGCCACAGTATGTAACCCCGTCTCTTTAACTGCATGGTGGTCTTCTGTTTGTCCCCCTGGAAATGTCTTTCACTGAGAGGCTTCCTGCTCAAATTTCCCCTGTCTTTTTTCTGCCTTCTGCTTTTGTGGTACCCATGTTTACACAGCTCTGCTGCTGACTGAATGAATTCATTTTTATTCTTGCTTTATAGCAAGAAGACGACGACAGAAAGAGAGGAGAAGGGAATTGAAGAAGGCTTCCCTCAGAGCTGCAGCTGCACATACAGAGGTGAGTCCTTGGCGAGCACAGACACGGCTCTTGTTGCCCTCAGTGCCTCTGTCTGACAGCCGTGAAAGATGCTGTAAGGTCCTGAGGGCAGTGATGTCACAGAAATACACCCAGCTGTGTGTCTGAGGAAGTCACGCTGTCAGCGAGAGCTGCCAGGCGAGCTTGGGTGCCTTCCTCTGCCTTCAGAAGGACGCTGTTGGTAACGGCCGGAGGGTTTTGCTGCCATAAGGAGCCTTGCCGTGTCGGGCACTGCGACCTTGGAAACCTCGTTCCCCCAGCAGAGCATGAATGTTAGCATAGGCAGCTGCTGTGGGAAGTAACGCCAGCGACCTGAACGGCAGGAACGTGCTGTGCTGCATGGGGCCGTTCTGCAAGTGTCCTGATCAGCCTTTCTGAAGGAGAGCTCCCCAGATTGTTTCTACACTCACTCTGTTTCTTTCCAGTGCTCCACAATGAACAGCCTGGTGGAGATGATGCAGCAGCTGCAGCTGAGGGACTGAGAGGAGCAGCATCAGCCGGCAGCGCTGCGGCGCGCGGCGTTACAGGGCAGCGCTGCGAGTGCCGCCCAACTCCAACTCAACTTTGCTTGTGGTCAATAAAAACATCACCAGTAGAGATGGACACAGAGCGCACGGCCCGATTTGTGCAGCGGCAGCCAGGAGCTGCTGCTCCAACGACTTCCTGGCGCACTCACACAACCCTGTGCACTCACACACTGCCTGCACCTCCTGGCACACCTGTGCGCAACCATCCGAACGCACGGGCAAAGGTGTGCAAAGCCACCCAGCCTTGTGCAGAGCCCTCAGTGCACACGCCGTGTTCATGCACACGCACACGTGTGTGCTGCCGTGTTCTGCTTCTGGCCTTCGGTGTCTGGAGGGGGGCGGCAAGAAAGAAGGGCAGAGAGAGAGAGTTGAGACGGGACGGATGGCAGAAGTCTGTCACAGTAAGGGTGGCACTGCAGCAGGGACACTGTCATGGGAAAAAAGCCAGACTGAAGGGGAAAAACAGGGATTTCTGGGAGAAAAGCCCAGATTGAAGGGGAAAAACAGGGATTTCGGGGTGAAGTAGATCCCAGATCCTACTTGTTCCTCTGGGACCCCGCTGACCACTCTGAGGCCATACTGCATTTTTATTGGGCTGCACAAAGGTCATTTTCACTTCTCTGTTGCTTTACTTCAATTAACCCCCATTCAATCCACCCCATTCACCCCATGGGTGAGTCTCATGTTTCCTACAGTTTAGATCTGGGAGGTGACCACTCCTTTGCCTATGACGAAAGCACAGCAGTGATGCCAAACCCAAAGCCATCGCTCCCAGACCAGCTGTGCCATTCCACTCACCCCAGTGCCTCAGCCCAAAACATTTACAAGGGAGAGATGCTGCATTTTCTGATCAACTTCAGCAACCCTCTGGAGCACCTGAAAATCACGCAGCCCCACCAAAGCCACCTCTCTCCATTACCTCCATTACTCCTGCTTTCCCCAGCCCTGCGATAACCAGCTTGCACAGCCCTCCAACCCCACGCACCACCACCATCCCACAAGGGCTCCCTGCAGCACCAGCTCTACCCCACAGCGACGGGGCACAGCCAGCACACCTACAGCACTCCACACACCTCCGCTTCCCTCTGCAGCGCCAAGCTGCTGCCTTGCTCTGGATCAGCCCTGGCCCCTCGGAGAGGCGGGCAGCGGGATGCCGCAGCACTGGGATGCTGTCAGAGCTGCTGTGTCCCACGGCCACAATGAGCTGGACCGTGTCATGTTTTAAAAAGATAAGGCAGCAGAATGAGTTGCAGAGGTTTTCTTGCTAGAGGTGCTGTGCCCCTGTGCAGTTCTGTAGAGCCAACACAGACACGCAGTGGATGTTCCCATCTTGCCATGCTGTGCCCAGGATGCTCTGCAGATCCCTGGTACAAAGCCCCTGCTCCCTCCTACAAAACCATGCCATTTTAGTTCTCAAGTATGCTGCCCTATAGCAGGGGCTACTGAGGTTATAAAGGGCTCAGGACAGCAGCGAGCATCCATGGGAAGCACAATGGCTGCTCCGAAAGGGGTGCTGGAGAGTAGCATCCAAAACAAACCTCACCACATGGTCCCAGCTGGTGGTGTGTGGGGTATGCTTGATTCCTGGAATTAGGGCTAGGTTGCAGGCAAAAAACAGCTTCACCTTAGCAGGTGTGTTGCCTGAGAGTTTCCTGCACAAACTGAGACTTACCTCTGGGTTTTTTTCTGCATTGTTTTTGGCATCTTCATTCCAGCCCCAGGGTTCACAGCTGTTTCCTGGAGCATCCGTGTGTCCCAATGGGGGTGCCACAGGCTGAAATCAATGTGCAGAGATGGCATGGAGAGGCCTCCTTGCTCTGGAATCTACCACAGACAGACAGACAGCACCTGGGATGTGATCTGTGGAGAGACGAGGAGCGCTCTTGGTGGAAGCCAGATGACCCAGCACAACTCCTGAGGAATCTGCAAACCAGCACAGAACTGTAGAGCCCATCTGCAGCTGCTTTTTGCCTCTGCAAGCTCCCACTGAGCCACTGCAAATGACCCAAAACCTTTGCTGCAGCCTCAGGACTTAGTTCTCTTGTGCCAGCTGCTCCCCACAGCTGTGGGGTGTCTTGAGCACCTTGCTACGAGCTGTAGAATGGAAGGAGCAAGGAGATGCTCATCCCTAAAGGGCCACTTGCTCATCCACAAAAAGTGAAAAGAAACACAGCAGGCGCAGGGGTAAATCAGCTCTGAAGGAACACTTCTGCTCTTTCCATAGCACTGGTCACTCTATGCTGCTCTAAGGGTTAGACTAGGTGAGAAGAGCTCTCACTGCTGCTGAAAGAGGTCAGACCGGCTTCATAAAGCATTCATAAACCTTCAGCAGCAGGACTCAGGGAAGGATCTGCAGAATCGCAGCTGATTCAGCTCTCCAGCCTGGCAAAGGAGCAGAGCCGTAGGGCTGCCATGAGCTGCAGGACTGCCCTGCTGTCATTGGGGTGGTGAAGCTGAAACCAGCTGGCTGGCAAAGTCCCATCTTGCTGACTGATCCACAGAACCCCAGGGAAAGAGAGACAGGCTCTGCGCTGAGAAGGCCTTGGGTACCGGTCCAGGAAAAGGGCGCAGCTCACAATCGTTGCTCAGCATCTCCACAGGACCACTGCTCACCATCAGGATGCTGTGAAGCCCAGTGCACAAGGCAGAGGGGAGACAGGGAGGTCACAGCGAGTCCCCCAAAAGCTGGGCAACAACTGCATATCATCCTGTTCTATAGCTCCTGTATCTCAAATAAAGGCTCTGTCATCGCCTTGTTTGCTTTACAGGTGGGAAGGGGCAGAGGACATCTGTAACAATCAGAATGATCAGTGCAGTGGGAGCAGGTGTAACCACAAAGGGACTGGCACAACAGAAGGGTGTTACAAAGAAAAGGGAAAGTGCTCACCTGTCCCTGAAGATCCAGGCTCACAGGGAAAACTCCACAGGGCAGGGATCTCCAACCAGAGATCCTTGCCCAGTGCAGGGTCAGCCCTTCAGTGAGGTCTAAGAGATCTGCAGCCAGGCTCCCCTCATTCCATCATACAACTGAACTGCCCTCACCTGCGCTCCCAGGGCCGACTGGGTCCTTTCCCCAGATGCTCCATCTGGGCTGGTGGTTCAGGCCCTGACTCAACACTCACCAGACAGCATTTCTCAGCAAATAACAGCCAAAGGGGGAAATGGTTTTTCCCCTGCTGTTTTCCAGGCTGCTGTAACAATCCCACCTCTGCTGTGCCGGTCAGCAGAGCTGACAACAGGATCTGCTCACGAGCCAGCAGGATGAGGAAGTGAGCAGAGTTTTTGGAAACGTGCCTGCTGTCAGGGTGGGAGTTTGGGCCCGCCCCAGCACCATGCATTGCCACCACACGACACGGGAGGTGGCAAAGGTGTGGGAGTCAGTGGAGAGCTGGTGGAGGAGGAGAAGCTTGGATGCCTGGCAGGTTGAGGGGACATGAGGTAGCTGCACCCATCACAGCCATGGGCAGCGCAGGCATACGGCCATCAGGCATGATGTGCAGGGTCTTCATCACTGGAGCTTCAGGGGATGGCCGTGGTCACTGTGGAGAAGGGAAGAGCGTGGGCAGCAATTGTGGAGACAGGGCACCTACCCTGGGCTGCAGCCCCTACAGCACAGTTGCAGGGTTTCAGGCTGCTCAAAAAACCCTTTCTCTCATTTGCTCTTCAGAGTGACTCAAAATCGAACCCCAGCACTGTCACAGCCTGCGCAGAGCACGGCAAAGGAACCCAAAACCTGACAGCTCCCTTCCTACACCCCTCACATCACTCAAAGAATCCTCTCTCCCTTCAGCAATCGCAGCCTCTCCCCAGGGGTTGCACCAAAGGGCTCTTCCTTGGTCAAGAACTCTCCATCCAACTCCCAAAGCTCTCACACACCTCAGGCACCTTCAGCTCTGTCATACCAGCAGTGAAGTGCATGCACCCACCTGCCACAGCTTCGCAAGAACACACCACTCCCTGCTGAATTATCTGATGGGCCACAGATGTCATATCAACAGAATGAAAAGAAGAAAAAACAACTGAGAGAAGGAGAAAAAGGCCCTTAATAAACTAAGCACCTTGGGGCTCTCTCATTTTATTCACTGGGATGACGGGCAGAGCCTTGGGAAGGAAGGGCACTGGGCTGCAAAATGCCCATCCATACGGTCACTGATCCTGGGGATGGGAAACCACTGGGATGGGAAGGAGGTCTGGGTACGAAAAGGCAAAGCATGGCAAGCCGGGGGGAGAGGGGCTGAGCCCAACGGTCACGGAACCCCCGTGGGGGGAGGGGCTCCCCCAACTGCCACTCTCCAGCTGTCATGGCAGGTAAGGCAGCAGCTCCCCCTGCTCTGACGCTCCAGCTGACCCCAGCGCCCCACATCTCACCCCTGTGGCCCCGGATCTCATCCCAGAGCCCCAGAAAACACCCCTGTGACCCGGATCTCAGCCCAGCACCCCAGATCCCACTCCTGTCACCCGGATCTCACCCCAATGCCCCGGCTCTCAGCCCAGCGCCCCGTCTGGCGTTTCCCCACAGAGAGATTCCCTCGAGCGCTGACGGTGCCTCTGACGCCTGACGCCACTTGCTTGGATGCCACTGTG